AGAGGGGTGAGTGTGTCCCAAAGTAGGTCAGCAAAACTTCAGCCTAATGATCACATTTCCCTGATAATATTTGTCATCAGGGCTTCCAGATTCGACCTTCCCGGTCTCCTCTGGGTTGGAAAGTTAACACACGTGGCCCAGGCGGGAGGAAGGTAATACTGGCGCTTCGGTTCCCTCGTCTATAAAATAGGGCTACGGATAGTACTTCGTTGTAAGCGTGTTGTGAGGATGAGTGAAATAATTTATAGAAATCACCCAGACGGGGTCTGGCACATTTTCCCTAGGAGAGGTTGCAGGGACTCGGTGACTTCTCCATAACCGATGTGTAATAGGAACCATCATTTTTGTCTCCCCCGCCCTCGCCGCGATCTCTCGCAGTATTGCTGTCCAGACCAAAGATTGGAAACCTCAGGAGGGTCAGGGCCCCTTCCCTAGGACACCCAAGACAACCTTCTCAGCATCTTTTAAAGTTGTAAGGTTCCCAGCTCATAAGAGTCATTCATAAAACGCCAGTTCCACTTGGCCTTCTGCTACACCCACGCCTCATCCTGTTTGCCCGAGACTGGGCAGGATGGGAAAAGTGTGGGGACAAGGCCCCACAGGCGGGAAGGGGGTGCTGTGCAAGTTTCGTTCCTGACGATTGGTGTGTGAACTGAAGTTGCTTCCCCGCGGTAATCGCCACCTTCTTTTCCTCCCCAGGGGCTGAACTGCACCGTCAAGAATAGTAAGTCATCCTTCTTTGCTCTCCTTGTTGTCACCCCGTCAGTAAAGCGATGGCCGCGTGCTGACGTGTGGCAGAGCCGGGCCACGCCCCTCCAGGGCTGGGCTTGGGTTAGGAGCACAGCGGCAGGAGGGGCCCGTAGAGTCTTGGACGTGTGCGCCCGCGCTTCCTCCGCAAGTCGGGAAATGAGAAACCAGTGTCCTTCGGATTCTGGAAGTATTCTCTGGGGTGCTCCCTCGTGTGTCTGCAGCCACAGTCTGCCTTTCCGCAGCTTGCCACTGGAAAGCAAGAGACAGCTGTGGTGTCGACTTGGTTTTGTTGTAATTCAAGGAGGTGGCGCGTATTTTAGGTGCCTTTGCTAATTACGGACCCGCAATGTGTAAAAATACAGCAACTCTTACACGCCCCCGGCCCTCCCGTGCCCCGTTTCCAACCACTGCCCTATCTCAGAACCAAGTCGGCACTTTGTCTTCTCTCCTGGAACCCCCTTTAGATGCAGGAGCTTTGCCGTGACCACACACGAGCATTAGAAAGAGGGAGCAGGGCAGTGACGCTGAGGACCCGGCTAAGGGTGACAAGCTGGCAGGCCCTCAGCTCTTCACGGTCCAGCTCTCTGGACCCGCTGCCGGGGCATCTTAGGGCCTCAGCAGCAAGTCGCTGACTGCTGCTGTTTCCTGGCTTCCAGGTACCTGCTTGGATGACAGCTGGATCCACCCTCGAAACCTGACCCCCTCGTCCCCAAAAGACGTCCAAATCCAGCTGCGCTTTACCCACACCCAGCACGGAGACCTGCTGCCTGTGGTTCACATCGAATGGACGCTGCAAACAGATGGTGGGTGGGCCTGCCCGCAGGGTCCTGGGGGGGTCTCCCCACTGCCAGGCGAGGCCACAGCCCAGACCATCGGCTCCCCCATACAGGCTGGAATTGGGCTCCCAGCCCTGTGCTCGGACGTGAGGGCCCAGATTTAGTGCTGGGAGAATCCGTCGTTTCTTGAGCTAGTACTTTTTCAGTGTTTTAGATATTAGCCCACAGTGATGCCTTCTCATCATACACCATCCTTCATGAAAGGCCTTCCTTCAGCCTAGAAGTTTCATCGGCCTGGAAACAAAAAGGCCAAGTGGTTAATTTTATGACTGCAGTACCAAAAATCTACTCGAAAAATGGTAACACATTTGCCAACCTGCTTGTTCCCTTTATTTAGGGGCCAGCACTTTTTAAAACATTCCCACGCCTCGTCAGGGCTAGACAGTTTGCGTTACAGAATTGGGAAGATCGGGGCTGATGCAGGTCTGTGAACCAGGGCATGGGGAAGTCCGTGGAAGTCCCCAGCCCACGTGCTCCCTGCCACCGCAGCCTCTCCGGGACGGTGGCGGTGGCTATGCTCAGTGCCCTGTTGCCAACACCCTAGCCGCAAGCGTACAAGGCCTTGCTTGTAGCCCAGTGTAAAGTGTCGCGTGTCCTTTCCCAGCTGGGAAGTAACTGTCTGCAGGCAGTGGGCTGAGGCCCAAGAGGGAGCGGAAAGGAACAGTGCAGAGTTAGGTAAGATGGGGCAGATTTCTTGTAAGCGAGAGCAAGCATCACAGATGGGGAAGTGACAGGCCCCGCGGTCTGCCCGGTGATCCCATCTCTGTCTCCTCTCCTCCCTCCGACCTGCAGCCAGCATCCTGTACCTCGAGGGTGCGGAGCTGTCGATCCTGCAGCTGAACACCAACGAACTTCTGTGTGTCAAGTTCGAGTTTCTGTCTAAACTGAGGCACCACCACAGGCGGGTAAGAATACAGCTCTCGAGTGGGTCTCCTTCCTCCGATGACACCACTGCAGACTCCTTGTCCCCAAATTCAGAGCGGGAAAGACCCAAAGGTGCTGGGAGAGTTCAGGGAACTCAAAACAGCAGCCCCCGGGTGAAGGGCTGAGTCTGCTGCCAGCAGCGCTGGGGGACGCGCCACTTGCCTGGCACGCCCATCTGCTTTTTCGTCCCACTTTCCCCAGTCCCTCCGTCTTAAAGGTAGTTGACTTAGAAGACAGCTTCCACAGCCCCACCCCCTGGCCCCTTTGTGTGTCACTTGGGTTAATCTGGGGCCTACCTCCTGGAAGAAAAGCCTGCCCCGGCCAGAGGACTGCCGCGGGCGGGTCCAGCCTCGTCGTGCTGCTCGCGGCGCGGTGGTGAGATGCTGCCCCTTGCTCACACTGTGGTTCCCGGACCGGCAACGTCAGCGTGGCTTGGGAACTTGTTAGAGATGCACATCCCACGACCCCACCCCAGACATCCTGAGCCAGAGACTCGGAGGGTGGGGCCCGGCGATGGGCGTGCAACAGCCCAGGTGATTCCGATGCAAGCTGTAGTTTGAAAGCTACCGGCTTAGATCTGCAAGTGGCCACTTTAAAACAAGTTAGATGGTCCAGGAGCACACGCAGCGAAGCAGCCCTCTCCAATGGTCGGTCAGGACCCCACACCTGGCAGCTGTGTGGACGGTTAGAACCAGGTGCCTAGGTCTGCTCAGAAGCAAAGGACGCCAGGCCCCTCACCAGGGTGGTTGGGGTGGGAGTCGGAGTCTACATCGAGAATCCACGCCACCCAGACGGTAACTCCGCACAAATGTGTTATCTCTGCGACAACCTGCGGGCCCAGAGTGCGTGGGGGTCTCTAGCTCGCCCTCTGTACCTTTTTGCTCCAGAACGTTCTCAAGAGATCCCTGGCTTTCCCATTTAAGGAGGAAGAATCATGTAACCAGTGGTTCTTAGCTGCCTTCTGTGTGCCAAGCCTCTCTAGCCCCAGGCCCTGGCCCGGCTCCCTCACACCCGTCCTTCTGGAGTTTGAGGGGGCCGATGGCGGGGGAGGACGCCTTCCAGTCCCCAAATTCCTTTGCATTATGACACTATCTGCTGATGAGGCCAGATCCAGGTTTTTTTAAATAGGCAGAAAAGACCAGAGAAAACAAAGAACAAAGATAACTGGTACCCCTGGTTTTAGGTTTGTCGTGGTTTTATTCTTGTTTTGAGAGAATGTTTGGTAGCCGGCGGGTGAGAGATGTGTGTGCGTAACCTGCCCAACCTCCATTCCCTCCCTTCAGTGGCGTTTCACCTTCAGCCACTTTGTGGTCGACCCTGACCAGGAGTACGAGGTGACCGTTCACCACCTGCCCAAGCCGATCCCTGATGGGGACCCGAACCACCAGTCCAGAAACCTCCTCGTGCCTGGTAAGACCATCCTCCCAAGACAGTCCCTTCCCCACTGGGCTCTGTGAGCAGAAAGCGGCAGGTCTGGAGACATCGGCCTTCCTGCTCGGCAAGATGGTGGCTGCCACTGCCAGCCCGTGACACCCCCAGGACGGACAGATGCGGGGGCTGGGAGCCCGCTGGTGTGCGGCTGCAGCTCCGCTCCCTGAAGGCAGAGCCCGTTCTCTGTTGGCACAACAGTGGGTATCAGCCCAAGATCCCCGGAGTTTTATGGGAGCCAGAGTCCCTCTCCCTGTCTAGAGACGTGCCCTTTCTACCCAGAAAACATCAGGAAGACAAGCCACTCATAGAAGAGTCACAGCCCCTGCTCTCAGCCTGGCCCCATCCTCCGTCGCTTGTCCTCTTTCTGCGCCGCCTCCTGCCTGCATTCATCCAGCACCCTCCCCACGGCGACACCCCCGCTCCCCACCCGTTCTCTGCCGGGCTTCTCTCAGGCGCCATGTGGTGTGTGCACCTGCTCGCTGTGTCCTCCCAGAGCCGCAGCCGTGGCCCGCGCTTCTCGCTGTTCAAAGGCGGCTGTGTCTGGAGCCCCAGCCTGCTTGAGGACGAGGTCTGGGTCTTCTGCCCATCTGTGAAATGTCCACAACCTGGGGATGGCCTTGCGTGTGGCAGGTGGTCAGGAAGTGCTCGTTAAGGATGGTGACGCCCTTCGTCCCTGGAACACCCCGCACAGCGTGAGCACACGCTATTTACCTTGCTTCATCTTTTTGCGTGGTTATGCTGCTTATTTGCTTTTTTTTTTTTTTTTTTGAGACAGAGTCTCACTCTTTTGCCCAGGCTAGAGTGAGTGCCATGGCGTCAGCCTAGCTCACAGCAACCTCAAACTCCTGGGCTCAAGCGATCCTTCTGCCTCAGCCTCCCGAGTAGCTGGGACTACAGGCATGTGCCACCATGCCCGACTAATTTTTTTCTATGTATTTTTAGTTGTCCAATTTCTTTCTAGTTTTAGTAGAGACGGGGTCTCGCTCTTGCTCAGGCTGGTTTCAAGCTCCTGAGCTCAAACGATCCGCCCGCCTCGGCCTGCTTATTTGCTTTTATTGGTCTCTGCTACTGGAGTGTAATCTCCAGAGGACGGGGACTTCGTGTTATTCACCACTGTCTCTTCAGTGCCTAGAACAGCACCTGGCACACAGTAGGTGCTCAGTAAGTGTCGAATGAGTAAATCTCCCCTGGCCTGTTCCTAAAATAGACTGACTGTCCTTGCCCCTCCATGGTGATTCACACCTGTCACGTGTCTTCTTGAGCCCAAATACAAATACTATAGTCAAGGCGGTTTGGAGGAGGACCAAGAAGGTGACTGGAGCAGTGGGCCTCGAGCTGTGGTCCCTGGGCCAGCAGCATTAACAGATGACTTGGGCACTTGTCAGACTCTGGCGCCGCCCAGACCCGAGTCGGAAACCTGACGGTGGTCAGCGACAAGTGTGAGGGTCCCTGCCCTGGGGCACCAGAGTGCTGGTCAGCCGCAGAGGCAGCTCTGGAGAGAAGCAGCTGTAGGTGGCAAGAGAAGGGCCTGGAGGGGACGAGGAATCTTTGGTCACCCAGAGCAGGCCCAGCAGGAGTACGGTGGAATCGGGAGGTTTCCCGCGAGAGGACAGGCCCGCCCGGCCAGCCCCAGTTTTGTGGGCCTCCGGCCAGTGACAGCCGTCCAGGCCTAGAGCTCTCTTTGGAGGGGCCCCTTGGACCGGCTCCCTGAAGGAAAAAGATCCGGGTCCCCGGTGTCAGGAATCTGGAAGAACAAACTTCCTAAAGTGAAGGCTTGACGATTGTCCTTTCGGGGTCGGCAGGCTGCGAGGACCCCAGGATGAAGCTCACCACGCCATGTGTGAACTCAGGTAAGCGTGGCTGCTGGGGAGGCTCGCCCCGGGTGCCTGAGCATGCCCCCTCACGTGCCGCCTGCGTCTGTGCCCTGGGCAGGCAGCCTGTGGGAGCCCAACATCACCGTGGAGGCCTCGGAGGCCCACCGGCTGCGCGTGGGCTTCGCCCTGTGGCACGAGCCCGCCCACTACCAGCTCCTGCTGAGCAGCTTCCCCCACGCGGAGGACCACGTCTGCTTTGAGCACGTCCAGCACGTCGCTGCGGTAACGCTGCCGTTCCCTGGCCCCCCAGCACGGCTCGGACCGCCCTCCGAGCGACGCCTCCTCTGCCGGTCCTGACGGGGCTGGCAGCTCGGAGCTCGGTGCCAGCCCCGTCAGCCGCGACCGTGAGCCACCTCGCCCTTTCCTTCCCTGTCGGTGCACAGTTGGCTCCGGAGGCGACCTTTGCTGCTGACCTCACGGTCAGGGCTGTAGCTGGTATAGGAGCTGACCCCGCCCTGCCCATGACTCGGTCCTTTCTGTCCTTCTCTCCCCACACTCTCCCCCGTTCCCTTTTTGTTTTGCTGTGTTTAGTCTACTTTATCCCAGAAAGGATTTGGGGGGTTAAAAAAGAGAAACAAATGTGGAAATTAAGGCAAAGGAGAACTAAAGATAAGGAGACGAGACGAAGCCAGGTTAGTGCCGGAAACGTGCCGTGCTGGTCTACATGGCTGTTGGGTGTGAACACACGTTCGTACCCCGATTCCAGGCAGCCGAAGCAAAGAGGGAACACCAGTTCCTAGATGTGCTTATGAGTTAGCAACAAACCAGCTGCCTTGCAGAAAGGGAGTTTTTCCTGGAACGGAAACCTGAGGAGCACGTCTCCCTCTGGCCTTCCCGAGGAGCCCTGGACAGCAGAGAGTTCTCGCAGCTTCCTAACCAGCCGGCCTTCCCCATCCTCCCCCCTCCAGCCCAGACGCGAGGATTTCCAGCCGCGATCCAACGTCACGCTCACCATCCACAACTCGGACTGGTGCTGCCACCACCGCCTGCAGGTGGGCCAGTGGCGTGGGCAGAGGTGGGAGCGAGCGCTGGTGGGCGTCCCTGCCAGGTGGGCGAGGACAGAGGGGGGGCAGCTCGTGGCCTCGCGCTCACCCCAGCACGAGGCAGGGGTCCTTCAACGCCCTCTCGCTGGTGGGGGATCTGGCCTCACAGCCACTCGGCCCGTTACTCTCAAATGACCTCTGCTGGCGAGAAGGCACGGGGTCCTCCGCACCCTTGCAGCCCTCCCTTCCCCACCCCTTCTCCGCCCCACAGATCCAGCCCTTCTTCAACAGCTGTCTCAACGACTGCCTCCGCCACTCCGTGACGGTTCCCTGCCCAGACGTCCCAGAGACTCTAGGTAGGAGGAATGTGCCTCTCCTGGGCCATGCGGGGGCCAGAGTGGGTGAAGGTCTGAGCCGAATCCTGACCTGGCTCGAGGGGACATGGGGTGGAGAGTCTGATATAACGAGGAGCTCCCACAGGGGGCGTCGAGTGTCCCTCCCTGGGTTGGAGTCCTGACGGGCTGTCATTAGCTGTGCAGCCTTGGACAAAGTACTTAACCTTTCTGGTCCTCTGCTTCCTTGACTGCACCACGGGGTAGATGTTATCATAGAGTTGTGTGTATGCAGCACGTACTGAACAGAGTATTTTAACATCCGCACAGAGTGTGAGTAACGCTCATAGATGTCAAATGACTTGTCCAAGATCACACACCAAGGACGAGGCAGAGCCCTGGGGTCTGAGTTGCGGCCTTGACACTCAGCAGCTCACAGGCCAGCATCTCCTTCAGAAGCCACGTGCCCCCCCTTCACGGGAGGCCCCCGCTGCTCGCTGGTCAGAGCGCAGACGTGGCACTGGGCTGGACGAGAACCCTGGCCCCACGCAGAGGGGAGAGGCGTCTGTTCTCACAGCAGCAGCTAGAGGCGGCTCATGCAGATGGTTTCATTAAGTGCAGCCAGGATCTAAAGTGCCCGGAGCAGGGCCAGGGTCGTTAAGGCCCCCGAGGGTGTCGGCGGTGGCTTCCTGATGACTGCTGGTAATTAAGAGCCCCATTCCCCTTCTCTCTCGTTCTCGTTGCAGACGTGGTTGCAGGTAAGCTCACATCTTCCCGCAGCGACGCAGGTCCTCGGGGGGCTTTCTGCAGGGGCCACGCGGGAAGCCCCTGACTGAGCCAGGCAGACAAGGCCAGCCCAGAGGGGGCGAGCCCGCCGGCACGTGGCTGTGCGCGCCAGAGAGGACAGAGCCCGGGGCCGGGGAGCGCGGGCAGCGGAGCAGCGCCCGCCACGTCACTCTCACCGTTCTGCTCACACAGACTACCCGCCCCTGTGGGTGTACGGCTTCATCACGGGCATCTCCCTCCTGCTGGTGGGCTCCGCCGTCCTGTTCATCCTCTGCATGACCTGGCGGCTGTCTGGTAAGAGGCAGGGTCGGGGCTGCCCCCGGCTCTCCCTTCCGCGCCCCTTCCTTCCTGCTCTCCCTTCTCCTCCAGCTGCAGCCTCCAGCTGGTCCTCCGAGGAGCCAGTGCTCGGGGGCATCTTCAGTGCCGGCCCTTCAATGTCAGGTCACGTCTCCTGCCTCCTGCCTTGCCTCGGCCTCAGTTACCAAGAACCTGGAGCCCGGGGCTGAGCTGGGCCCGAGCACCAGCTCCACACTTGGCACCTGGGCGGGCCACCTGGCCCTGAGCGTCCTCGGCTTCCTCTCGTAAAATGGCGATGGAAAAATAATGGCCGGGCGCGGTGGCTCACGCCTGTAATCCCAGCTACTCGGGAGGCTGAGGCAGGAGGATCACTTGAGCCCAGGAGTTTAAGGTTGCTGTGAGCTAGGCTGACGCCACAGCACTCTAGCCCGGGCGACACAGTGAGGCTCTGTCTCAAAAAAAAAATCAGCAGGCTGGAAGGAGCCAGAGTGGAGTTGCCCTGCATCAGCAGTGCTCAGCCAGGCCGGCAGAGCAGCCTGAACAGCCCTGTCCTGCAGCCCCTGCGCCCACGTCTGGGGCCAGGGAAAATGGGGGGGACAGAAAAGGCTGGGGTTCGGACCGACCACAGGAGCAGATCCCAGCCCCACTCACCAGCCTGCAGTCGTGGGCCGGTTGTGTAACGAACCGTACGTAGGTTTCGTTTTCCGTTCTGCAAAGTGCAATCCCGATGCTTCCCTCCGGCTGTGGTGCGGGTCGGCGAGACAGCGAGGGCAGTGCTGGCCGCCGGGGATTAGTAAATCCAGCCCCTCCCTCTCGTGGCCTCCTCTGGCTGGCGCGTGCCAAGCAGGGAGAACGTGGGTGGGGGCTCAGCCCTTCCCTGCCCTCCACGACCCTACGCTGCCCCTTCAATCTTCTGGGAAGCCGTTTCCACACTCGCCGAGGCCCTTCAGGGTTCGGTCTTGTAGAAAGAAGCCACCCAGCGCGAGCAGACCCACCGGACGCTCCTCCTCCGGAGCGTCCTCCTGTAACCTCTCCGTGGGGGCCGGGGGCCTTTGTTTCATTTCTGCTGTCGTGCGTCTGACCTTCCGGGGCGTCCAGGGAAGGGGGAACCTCGCTAGTTACGTGACTGTCTTGACAGTTGAGAGTGAGGAATGAAATTAAGGCTCTAAGCCTCTTGCGCGGCCACCTGTGGATTTCAGCCGCCCCCGCTGTCACGGAGCAGTTAACGCCTGCCATGTCGCCACATCTCGAGGGGAACAATTGCTTAAGCGTGTGGGTTCCCCTCGCTCACCTCAGAAATGCCAGGAGGAAGTGTCGCAAGTGGGCCGGGTGGGGCAGCTTCTGGAAAGGAGTGTGGTAAGATACTCGCTTCCCGGAGGGACGCTTGTGGGGAAGGCTGTCCCCTCACGTGGAGTCTGCTGGGCCGGCCACACTGCGGGGGGCAGGGAGACCAGGACGCCGACGGGGACCAGGGCACAGCCCCCCAGCACTGCTCTGGGGGTCCTAGCTGGGTCAGTGCTACACAGTAATAATTGTGACCCCACGTGAACGAGTTTGGACAATACTCCAGGCACGTCACATACAGTATCTCATTTAATACCCAGTAAGCTGAGATCAAACACAGACCCGCTTTACGGAGGAAGAAACTGAGTTTCTGAGGCATTAGTAAGCTTCTCCGACCACACAGCTCGCGTGGCAGACCAGGCCCCACGCTGCGCGACCAGCCGCACGGCCTCCCCCACGAGGGCCCTCGTGCGTCCAGTGACTGCTGGCTCGGGGCTTGCCCTTACCGTCGCTGACACGGGGCTGGTCCCCATTTCTCTTCCCAAAGACCCACTCCAGTGTATCTCTCTTCCTTTCAGGGACTCATCATGAGAAACACGATAATGACACCAAACACGCCGGTAAGTGTCTCCCGGATGGTGCGTGTGTGTCGAGAGGTTAGAGGGTCGCCTTCTGCAGTCTGACTCCAGGTCCCTTCAGGAGACCCCACGTCAGGGCCCCCACTTCCCGTACCCGACCCAGAGGGCTTGCAGGGGGCCCCCAATAGCAAGGCCTGGGCGCCATTGTTTCAGTCACTCGGGGGAAAGGAAGGTAAGCACCGTATTTTGTGAAAAGAGGTCCAGGCGTTTCTGTCCCGCAGAGAGGCCTTCGTGCCTCTTCTCTTGTTTTGATTAAAGTGATTAAAGTCCAGGCTAAAGACCAGATAGGGATGTGTGAGAGACAGAGATTCTTTTTCTCGTGAGGCACCAGACTGGGATTTTTTTCGGGCAGCCAAAGCAAGGCGAAGCGGCAACATCTGGCTTGTTCCAAGAGGCCTCCGTTGCGTGCCTTGGTCTAGCAGCCAAGCTCGGTGTTCGGTCCAGGCCCGTCCCAGGCTGGCCAGCAGAGGACGCCGCCCTTGGCCTGTGGCGGGAGGGTCAGCACACGTGTACCCTTGTTTCCTTAGGTGTCCCGCCTGCAGCTGACCTGACCCCCCCAGCCCTGAAGCCAAGGAAGGTTTGGATCGTCTACTCAGCCGACCACCCTCTCTATGTGGATGTCGTCCTAAAATTCGCCCAGTTCCTGCTCACCGTCTGTGGCACTGAAGTAGCCCTCGACCTGCTGGAGGAACAGGCCATCTCGGAGGTGGGGGTCATGACCTGGGTGGGCCGCCAGAAGCAGGAGATGGTGGGGAGCAACTCCAAAATCATCATCCTGTGCTCCCGAGGAACCCAGGCCAAGTGGCAGGCTATCCTGGGCTGGGAGGAGCCTGCCGTCCGGCTGCGGTGTGACCGCAGGAAGCCCGCTGGGGACCTGTTCACGGCGGCCATGAACGTGATCCTGCCAGACTTCAGGAAGCCGGCCTGCTTCGGCACCTACGTCGTCTGCTACTTCAGCGGCATCAGCAGCGAGGGCGACGTCCCCGACCTCTTTAACATCACTTCCAGGTACGCCCTCATGGACGGGTTCGAGGAGGTGTACTTCCGGATCCAGGACCTGGAGATGTTCGAGCCCGGCCGCATGCACCGCGTCGGGGAGCTCACGGGCAAAAACTACCTGCACAGCGCCAGCGGCCGGCAGCTCAGGGAGGCCGTGGAGCGGTTCCGGGAGTGGCAGGCCCGGCGCCCCGACTGGTTTGAGCACGAGAACCTGTGCTCAGCGGACGACCAGGACCTCCCGTCCCTGGACGAAGAGGTGTTTGAAGAGCCGCCGCTGCCGCCAGGAGTGGGCATCGTCAGGCAGAGGCCCGTGGTGCGGGAGCCTGCCTCCGCCGACGGGCTGGCGGTGAGCGTGCTCCTCGGCGGGGAAGCAGGAGGAGTGTGGAGGCTGGAGCCTCAGCTGCTGCCAGAGGGGCAGCCAGCGGCCCAGCCCCTGCGGACGACGGTGCTCCCGGTGGAGAAGGTCCCTCCAGCTCAGGCTGCGGAGCCCGTGCCTGTCGCTGACGGGGGCAGCATGGCCAGCCGGCTGGCTGTGCTGGAGGAAGGCGAGGCCCACCCGCTGCTGGGGGGCCGTGGCCCTCAGCAGAACAGTGTGCTCTTCCTGCCCGTGGACTCGGGGGGCCCACGTCGCTGCAGCGCCCCGCTGGCGTCTCCTGAGCCCCTCCCGAGCGAGACGCGAGAGCGGCTGGAGGGCCTGATGCTCTCACTCCTCCAACAAGACCCCTACACGCCGTGCGAGGAGGAGCAGCGGCAGTCGGTGCAGTCTGACCAGGGCTACATCTCCCGGAGCTCCCCGCAGCCCCCCGACGGACTCAGGGGAATGGAGGAGGAGGAGGAGGAGGGTCTGGGGGAGTCGGCCATGCCGCTCTCTCTGGAAGACCTGGAGAGCCTGAGGAGCCTGCAGCGACAGCTGCTCTTCCACGAGCTGCGGAAGAACGCTGGCTGGGACAGGGTGGGCTCAGATAGGCCAGTCGGGCCGGGGCAGGCCCCCTCCTAGGGGCTGCCGGGTCCCCAGCGTTGAGTGTGCATGTGAGTGTACATGCGTGTGCGTTTTTGTATACATGTCTGTGTGTGTATGGGTGTGTGAAGCGTGTGCTTGCGGTTGTAGACATGTTGACTCTCGTCCCTAGGCGCCCCCTAGCTTCCCATTATGTAGCCATCTGGTTATCATCCGTCCCTGTGGGAACCCACAGCCCATTTCTGGGAGCTAATGGCAGCGTGACTTCGAGTCTGTCATTTGCTCCTTCATTCAGCATTTATTTTGCACCTACTCTGTGCCGGGCATTTGGGATTCAAAGATAAATTGCACAGGGCACAGCCCTGGCCCCAGGGAGCCTCACACCCAGTGAGAAGATGCGCAGAAAAGGCACCCGGCCCCGGGAGAGGTTCCTGGAGGAGGTGACGTCTGAGCTGGAGCAGAGGCGTGTTGCCTAGTCAGGGGTAGTGGTTGGGGGAGGCGCAGTCCCAGGGCAGGGCCAGCCGCGGGGTCAGTGCTGGGAGGTGAGGCGGCTGGAGTGGAGGTGGGGGTGGGGTAGCCAGAGCTCAGCCTGTGGGCCAGGTGGGAGCTGGGACCTCAGCCCGAAGGCCTGGGATGGGCTGTCGCCCAGCAGGGGAGACGGCTGAGGGCCAGACACACCCAGAGGAGACAGGATAGAAACGTGCGAAGTGAAACAACCGTGTTTGGCAGGGAGGCGAACGAGACATCCTGAGCGCGTGTTTTGGCAGGCAGTCAGTGGCAGAGGACGCTGCAGCCCCCCGAGCTCGGGACGCGCTGGCGCGCGAGGACAGAGTGAGGAGGGTGCCAGCTGCGGGGCCCGCAGCGGGCGGGAGGGGAGCGAAGGTCTGGGCAGACCCTTCCCAGGGGACAGGGTGCCGCTCTGTCCTTGACGGTCTCACGTTTGAGGAGAGACTCGAGGCCCAGTGTTTGAAGAAATTGTTGCTGAAGTGCCTTCTTGGGGTGCGGGTGTTGAAGAACACACTGATGCCATCGGCCCCGGAAGCGAGTGTCTGCGTTTCCGCGTTCGCGTCCTCAGTTGTACTTGCAGGCTTCCGTGAGGACACCATGCGGAGTGTGATGGGAAGGCAGACAGAGGAGTGGTGTGTGTGCACGTGTGCACATACGTGTGCATGAAAGGGAGACTATCAGTAAAAGAATGCATAGCTGTTAGCTCTGGTAAGAATTTCTAGTACTTACTTTGGGTCAGATACTGCTGTAGTTGTCGAGTTCTTCCCTGCAGTGAGATTTTGCCTAGTGGCAGCAGGGCCACCAAGGTTCCACGCCCCAGATGGTGCGTGGCGTGTGGTCATCCCGGCAGCAGCGAAGGACCAGGCGAGGGAGAAGAGGAACTGAGGCTTCCCAGCCACCAGCCTCCGGCCCCGTCTCTCCTGTCCAGTAACCCTGGAGGGGGTGTCACTGGGTGCGGACACCTGCCAAGCTTTCTGTGACATTTCCCCAGCTTCCGATAAGCACTTACTCTGTGACCAGAGTGCAGAATACCATGGTGGACTCTTCCCTCGCTAGAACCAGGGCTCTGCCTGGCAGCGGGGTGGACCCAAGCCACTGTCGTCCCAGTGCCCTGGAGCACTCCTTCACTTTGATCCCATTTCTCACACACCTTGAATTCTAGCTCTGCTGGCCTTTGAGGCCATCCCAGTAAATGTCCCCAATTGGTGTTGTCCACTGTGTCCCCTTTATCTTCAGGATGGCTGCTTTTTTTCCTGACAGCTTTATTGAGATACAATTCACAATTGATCTGATCTGCACAACAGTGGCTTAGCGTGGTCACAGAGCTCAGCAACAGCACGATTTCGGATCGTTTCATTACCCCCGGAAGAAACCCAGCGCCCCTTGGTCGCCACCCCCAACCTTCTGTCTCTGTGCGTTTGCCTGTTCTGGACGCATCCTCTAGAAATGGAACCATCAACTTCTCCAGGTGTCTTGGCCCTTCCTCACTGTCATCCCTGTTCCTCCTCACGGTGCCGCCTCCTCCCCTGGAGCCCCCAGGCTCAGGCTGGTCTGTGCTCGCTGTAAGTGCTGGGAATTCGGTCGGCTGAGCGTGTCTGCTGTCAGCCAAACACCAAGAGCCTCAAGAGCGAGTATAAGTAAAGCCAGACTTAACACGTCTTTTTGTGTTATTCTGAACCATGGCTGATAAAACCGTGTTGCACCGAGAAGCACCCCTCCGAGAACAGACGCCCTCCACACTGTCACTCTGCCACCTCTGGCCCCTCTCCTGGAAAGCGTGCAGCAGAGGCGGCCCCAGGACAGGGAGCACCCAGTCCACAAAACCTGCCGCAGAGCCTCGGCCCGTGCCTGGCATCTACGGCAGTCACTCACGGCCAAGCACCGACTCCTGCATGGCGTTCCGTGACTTTTCCTGCCTACTGTCTTGATCCTAGATTTTTTTAGAAAGGAGGAAAAATTATATGATGACGTGGACATTGCTTGATACAGTGCTTTGGTTCCAAACCAGTTTCTCTTTTCTGCTTAGGAAGGTCCTCAGAGCTGGTTAGGTTCTCAAGAGGGTTTTGTTCAGTTCCTGAAACACCCCTTCAGCAGTTTGAGCTGAGATCTCTGAATGAAGGTGTGATGGGTTTACTTATTTCCTGCTTCTCCGTGAAGCTTAAATAGGGCGTAAGAGAAGATGCCCTCAGCAGTGCAGCGGGCGGTTCACACTAGGTGGCATTTGGACTCTGTGGTAAGCACTTCCCATCCTAAATAACCGAGGGGCATGCCAGGCCCTGCTGTGCCCTAGCGCCTCCCGAGAAGGCCTGCCGGCGGGGGGGACAGAAGAGCCCCGGAGAGTCCCAGCCGCGGTGAGCTGCAGGGCCGCCCCCCCAGCCTGGGCCTGTATGTCACAAGCCAGGTGTGTCGGGCAGGGGGCTTCCCTGCAAAGAGGAGACAGCTTGGGATTCTGGCCCACAGTGACTTGAATTAGTCACCGTGCCTAGATCTGTTGCTCATCTCCGAAGTGGCTGTGTGGGAGTTTCTACCTCATGGGGTCCTGGGAGGTGTGGGTGACGTGTCCCTGGGAAGCACCAGGGTGGTGTCCTGCGTCCAGCTGGTGCTCAATGCCTGCCAGCCACCCTCCGGCTGGGTCCACTGGCTTCCCCGGACACCCTGTTGCCTCTCGTGAGAAGCCCACAGGCTCCCGGGTCTCCGCCTCTTAGCCAAGAGGAGCAGCAGACGGGATTCCGGGCGGAGCAGCGTCGCCTGCTGCCGCGCCCGCTCCCCCTGCAGTTCTGCCCCGGTCTCCGAAGTGGCGCGCGCGCCAGTGCGTGGCGTGTACTAGGGGCTAATAAATGTGTTGGCTGAGTGAATATGCTCAGTGCGGAAAAATGGCAACAGTGCGGATTCTGTAGATGGTACATTCTAGAAGAGTAGAAGGCGGAGCGATTGCCCCCAGATCCGCGGCGCACGCTGTCGATCGGTGTGCCTGCCGCGTCCCACGCGTGGCCTCGCACGTCACTCTGAAATGACATCCAGGTCCCTGTCCTTGCCTCAGCCTCTCCACAGTGCCCCACGCCCCATCGCCTCACCCAGATGCTGGCACAGGGTCCCCACACGTGTCCCGTCCATTTAGGTGACTGAGACAGCCTCGCCCCGGTGAGCCAGTCCTGCCTGTAGGAGGAACGTGGAGCCCCCTTATGGTGTGAGGAGTCTTGCCCAACCCCGTCACCTAGAGTCCTCACAGGGAGCAGCCCGTTGGGCTATTAACACCTCTTGTGCCCTGTATTAATACGATGGCTAGTGCGTCTGTGTGATCATCCATGCCCCGTGTTAATGCGATGATAACACCTCTGAGTGCACGATGCCTTGCGTGGCAGAGAGGACGAGGACGCGCAGCGCCATGAGGGGGAGGTCGCGGTGGGGGTGGGCTGGCCGGCCCCGACATTCACCTGCACCCTGACGTGGGTGTCCCACTGGCTGACTCTGCTCACCTCTTCGCTGGGACACGGGAACCGAGCGCAGCCCGGGCACTTACCCAGAACCGCCGGGGCTTCAGTGCAGGGGCAGCTGCGCCGCGGGCAGCTGGGACTCTGGAGGCAGCCGGGCCAGGGTTCAGTCGAGTCCCCTTCCTGCCTGCAGCGCGGCCCTGGGGACCCGCCTCACCTTCCTGGGCGTCAGGGATGTGGAGACGAGATGGCTCGGAGGTGCCCGTGAGCGGGGCATGGGCTAGTGCGTGTCCGCGCCTGGCAGTCCACCGCGCGCTGTGTGTTCGCGCTCCTCCTCAGGCGGGCGCAGCCCTGTGCGGGGCGGTGTCGCCCACGCAGGGACACGTCGCCCCTCAGCCCCCGCTCCGCCGTTACAAAGCAGGTCTGTCAGCGAGCGCCGGCGTGCTTGACTGGAAGGCGTTTGTGAGTGTTTACAGCATGCTTGCTGGAATTAACCATCTTACTGTACGTCAGATTTGGAATAAATGCAGACACGGTCTTCTGTGGCTCTGTAATGATTTCGTGTGTCAAGTTTGTCCCCTGCTACGATGTCTTGGGGGGAAAAGGGACCATTTTTGCATATGTTGCCTTATCTAATTCTTAGCCACAGCCCTGTGAGGTAGGTGAGGCTGCTTCTGTTCCACAAATGGCGACAAAGTTCTGGGAGGCCGGGGACTGCGAGTAGGAGGCAGAGCAGGCCTGGGCTCCCGGCCCTTCGGCTGTGACACGGCTCCCTGTGCCCCTGGGCCAAACCCCTGTGTGGCCTTTGGAGTAGCCAGGAGCATCAAACTGTAGGGTGACAACACAAAGTGGTTTCAGTAGTACCAGCTGCCTCTGTGCTAAAAAAATACTATGCTTTTTCTTCGGCGCAGACCCAGTGTTCTGCCTTAGACTTAATAGTACCCTTCATGTTAAGACAGAACAAAATCCTTGTTCGTCTCACACGTAAGAACTCAGGCTCTGGCTGGGGCAGGGGCGACGGGAGGGCACTGTGTTTGCAAATTCGTTTCTCAAGGCTTTCCCTTTTTGTAAGCTATTCTTAGAAAGAAGTGGGCGGCTGGGCGTGGTGGCGCGCACCTGTCACCCCAGCTCCTCGGGAGGCTGAGGCAGGAGGATCACTTGAACCCAGGAGTTTGAGGCTGCAGTGAGCTAGGATCGCACCACGGCACTCTAACCTGGGCAACAGAGTGAGACCCTGGAGAGAGAGAGGGGGAGAAAGAGATGGGAGAGGAAGCTCAGGGTGACTGGGAAAGTCACTGTCGGGCCAAGTCCCTCTGAGCCGGCTGTGCTGGCAGAAAACCTGGCTAGACGCCCACCAGCTCTAGGCCACAGCCTCACCTCCCCGGACAGCGCGCCCACTGCCTGGAAGGAAAGGGCGAGGTGTGCCCACATGTTAACACAAACCTGTAAAATGGTGACAAATGTCACAGTGACATTTAAGAATTTAGTAAAGAAACCAGGACAGAAAAGATCTTAAAACACCACACAGGAAGCTTGTCACAAGTCTCAAGTTTTTATTTTCAGAAGAGAGTCTGGTTTTATTTTTAAAAAGAGAAGGAAAAAAAACTGTGATAAATGCTAGCGAGGTGCCACTTCCCCCCTTCCTCCAGGCTCTGACCGACAGCTAGCTCTCCCCCACGAAACCCACGGACTCGGAGCCGGGGCTCGTCAGAGCTGGGCGGTCTGTAGAGAGGGTCTGCCCAGAGCGAGGCTCCGAGCCCAGGGCTGCGAACCGTGCCCGTGGTCGGTCTGGCCGCAGGAGACAGTGCACCATCTTGGTTATCAGATGCACGGGGCATTTCAGGCTTGCCCCCTGCGCTATAGATGCCCTGGAAGGTAAGGCAAAGGAAGCTTGAGGGGTCGTCTCTCATTAGGAACGGGGCAAGGGGAGTGAGTACAAGGACTTGAGAAAAACACACCGGAAGGAAGGAACCGACCCCTGAGCACAAAGTGCTTGCACCAAATGTGTAAAAGAAGATGCCCAGGGGTGAGTCGGGGGCCGTCAGACAGGGCCCGAGCAGGCCTGGCCTCTGCCACAATTGGCCCAGTTGCCATCAGTCTCTTGATGTGCCCAGGGAGGTGGCAGCTCATTGGAACTTATCACAGCCTCCCACCAAAACCCAGCAGCACTCGGAGATTTCAGTCAGGGAGACCCAGGGAGATGGCTGTCTAAACAGTAGAAAGGCGGCGGTCAGGGGGCCAGCCAGGGGTGGCCACGGCTCAGACACGGTCTCCCTTCACAGTCACTGAAATTAGGTAGCAGAGAAACAGCAAAGCTGGAGAGAGGACATGGGAACAGAGGGAGCAGCTATTGGCACCTATCCGGGGCCTGGGCCCCAGAGCCGTGAGGACAGGCAAGGGGAGGGGAGAGGAGCCGGCAGGGGAAGGGGAGGAGGCAGGAAAAACCCGGTTAGTTGTGGAATCCAACCAGCCGTGGGCGAGCAGGGTGAGTGCCTTCAGTGTAAACTTATCCCCCTCCTTTCGCTCGGAGAGCAAGGGGGAGCTCGGGGCAAGCTCTCAGCCCCTCTACATCTGCGTGGGCGTCCCCTGCCCACAAGCCCCCACCAGACGGAGGGCCCCTTGTGGGAGGGGGCCTGGCCTGGGAGCTGAGCCAGTGGTCAGTGACTTGGCACTTGTGGCCCCCGCTCTGGCCGGGGTTCTAGGGAAGGCCGGAGACAGGACAGCTGTGGCCACAGCCCTCCCTCCTGCTTTCCCGGCCGAGGCTCCACACAGCCCCGCAGAAGCAGGGAATGTTCTGCTAGTGCACTCCGGCGGCTCCTCTCCTAGCCACCTGCACAGGGAGCATTGCGACTGGGGCTTTAAAGAGCCATGAATCCAAAGAATGCTAGAGCCAGAAAGCAGCTCAGAGTCACTCATCCAACTTCTAATTTTTAAATGTGCAAAAACTGAGGCCCAGAAAGTAAAAATGATAAGTCATTCGAAGCTAGTGAGTGGCTCACGCCTGTAATCCTAGCACTCTGGGAGGCTGAGGCAGGACGATCGCTTGAGCTCAGGAGTTCGAGACCAGCCTGAGCAAGAGCGAGACCCGTCTCTACTAAAAATAGAAAGATTAGTCAGGTGTGGTGTCGTGCACCTGTAGTCCCAGCTACTCAGGAGGCTGAGGCAGGAGGATCGCTCGAACCCAGGAGTTGGAGGTTGCAGTGAGCTGTGATGACACCACTGCGCTCTACCCGGGGCGATGGAATGAAAGACTCCGTCTCAAAAAAAAAAAGCTAGTGAGTGACAGTCGGAACTAGCTAGACTCCACACCTTCTGGTCCCTTGTCCAGGGTTTATTACACCACATAAGACCGCCCAAGCATATGAAGGGAGAAGGGGGCAAAAAAACTCTTAGCGTTTCACCTCTACCCCCTCCTACTGAGGCTGGAGGAGAGTGAGTGTTTCCTGGCCTTGCTCCCCGCGGTCTGCCTGCACCCTTAGCTCCCTAAAAATACTTATCTTGCTTCAGAGATGCCAAGAGTGATGTCCCACATCAAGACAGTAAGGACGCACCCCCTGGGTGTCTCCTGTCAGCACCCTCTACAAGGGGAACACTGGGGGAGGGATGGCCGGGGAAGGCCCCACCGCCTGCCTGTCCCTAGTGAGACCCTTAGCCAGAGCGGAGGAGGAAGGTCACCACCACCCTTTCTGACCTACACCAGGCTTCCTAGAGGAAGGACATGGGAAATTGGGCTTCCTACTCCCCTGGGCCTACGGGAAGCCCAACATCCGGGAACGCCACCAAATCTGTTGCTCTGAGCCAAGATCTGGCCAAGCCAGCATCAAACTATGGGAAGGACAAGCGTTCTGGGTGCAGGGGAAGAGCAGAAGGCGGGTGAGCCAATGGCTGATACTCCAGAGACCCTGTAAGAACACTGGCACCAAAACCAGCTGGCTCCAGTGCCATGTTGAATGCAAATGCTGAGTATTTTGTCTTTATTTTTTGCAAGCAGCATCAGTGCATGATGCAACAAAGTGGAAAGCACGGAGGTAGAAACGCTCACTCACCCAAGAAAGGGTGCAGTTTGGTCCTTAGAAAACGGGCCCTCCTCCCCCCAGCTGAGAGGGAGGAGCAGGATGGACAAAGCTCCTGGGTGAGCTTCTCCCAGGGGCCCCACTTTTCCTGGGAATTCATGGTCCCAACTTCAGGCAGAAAAGAGGAGGGTGGTGGTCAGTGTGGGGCGGGGCGGGTGGAGGGCAAACGGCCCCCTCAGCTCTCCTACCCCCTGCGAGGGGCCACAGGGTAGACTCAAGAAAACAACACTGCGCACACTCAGAGACATACACTTCGCATCTACCGCCCTGGAGAAATCCAACAGACACATCAGGGAAGAGTGGATTCCGGGTCAACTTCGAGGCGTGGGACGATGGCCTCTAGCCACAGCCTGAATGAGGCCAGCGCTTCCCAGCAAGGCAGCAGGCCCAAGGCCCAGCACCCCCGCCTGGGCACCCTCTTTCCTCCATTCTTCCCCCTAATGGGTGGGAATTAGGGTGGAGGCGGGAAAAGCAAGAAGCAGAGGTTCCAGCCCTTTGAAGGCTGGGACTGGGGCGGGGCGTGGAGAAGGGAGAGCAGGGTAAGGTGGACCGAACTCCCTCGCCAGTAACTCTGGTCTCCCTGCAACCCGCCGTCCGGAGTCGTGCAGAAGGACACATGGGCCCTCGGCCCTATCAACAGTGACCTCTTCTAAACAGAGCCGGATCAAATCTGCATGAGAGAGGTCAAAGCACAAGGAAGCTGGGGACTCCCAGCCCAGCAGCGAGGCCCCCTGCCCTTCGCCCCCTCAATTCTGGGAGGCCACCGCCAGAGTGTTGACATAGCCGTGGGCGCCCCCCTCGTTCTCCGAGATGCAGTGGCCCAGCTGGGAGCCTCCCTGAGGCGGCGGCGGCGGCGGCGGCGGCGGGGCGGAGGGCGGCGCGCCGTAGCCCCCTCTGGCCCGGCTGGGCGAGGCCCGGCTGCCCGGGTCCCAGCAGCCCTCCAGGGCCTCCAGGCCGCGGCAGCCGAGGAAGAAGAGGTTCTTGAGCAGGAAGACGGAGAGGGGCTGCTGGTAGCTCACCACCAGGAGGCAGCGCAGAGCCAGCAGGGGCACGTCCACCAGGCAGCCGCCCAGCAGGCGCAGCAGGCGGCTGCAGCTGCCGGGCCCCGGGGCCTGGCCCCAGGACGAGGCGTTGAGCTCGTAGAGCCAGAGCACCGGCGAGGCGAGCGTGAGGAAGTAGACGGCGAGAAGCAGGTAGCGCAGGTGCGCGGGCAGCGGCACGCGGCCGTCCAGCGTCAGCTCCACCAGGGTGAAGCCGTCGAGCAGGTCCAGGCACGTGCCCAGGAAGCAGCCGGCGGCGCGGTGCCGCTGGGGCTGCAGCAGCAGGGGTCCGGCCGAGCCCGGCGGGGCGCCCGCCTCGCTGATGGCCCGCACCAGGCTGTAGAGCAGCGGCACCGACAGCGCCATCGTCAGGCGGAAGCCGGTGGTGCCGAAGGGCGCGCGCAGCTCGATGAGGTCCAGGATGGACGTGCCCAGGATGAGCACCACCTTGGGCGTGAAGGCGATGGAGTAGATGAGCCAGGCCAGGTAGGCGAAGGCGAACTCGCCGGCGGCCCCGGCCGCCGCCAGGCCGGCCCCCGCGCCGCCCGCGCCCCCCGCCGAGCGGCCCCCCGGCGCCCCGACGGCCCCGGCCGCAGCGCCCGCGCCGAAGTCCCCGGCGGTCATGCTGCAGGAGGAGGTGGGCGTGGACGCGGAGGAGGAGGAGGTGGCGGCCGAGGAGGAGAAGGCGGCGGGCGCGGCGGCGGGGGCGGCCGGGGCGCCCCCCTGACCCGGGGGCCCCGGGAGCGCGGCGGCGGCGGCCGGCACGAGAGGCTTGCTGGCGCTGGTGCTCTCGTCGTCGTCCTCGCGCTCCGCGCCCGTGCTGCTGCTCGCCGAGCCGCCCCCGCCGCGTCTGCCGCCGCCTCCCGCCCGGCTGGTGCTGGTGCTGGTGCTGCTGTCGCCCGAGCCCCTCCGGCCGCGGGAGGGGCCCCCCCGGAGGAAGAGGGGCTGCAGCCGGGCGGCGGCGGGGGGCGGCGGGAAGGAGCCGGACGACGACGAGACGCGGCGAGGGTTGCCGAGCGCCGGGCGCATTGTCCTGCGAGGGCTCGGGGGCTGCCCAGCCGCTGCTCCCCGCCAAGCCCGGGCGGGCGCGGCGGCCGAGGGGAGCCGGGGCCTCCCCCGCGGGGGGACTCGCACCGGGCCGGGCAGCGGCGAGAGCCGGACTGGAGCCGCCGGACTGGGCGGGCCGAGCCGGGCGCCGGGCGCGGGGCCGGCGGGGGCGCGGAGCGGGCGGGGGCGAGCCCAGGCGGCAGCGAAGGGAGGCTGGCGGCGGGGAAACCAGGACTGGATTCGAGGGGGAGAGGAGGGGGCGAGCCCAGAGAAGGGGAAAGCCCGGCTCGCTGGATCAGCGGGAAGGAAAGGCGGACGCGGTGCTCCGGCGTCAGAGGCGTCAGAGTCGGGGTGGGGCGCCCCCTGGGCCCGGAGGATGCGCAGCGAGGGGCAGGCAGCCTCCGGGATGAGGAGGGCGCCGGGCGGATGCCCCGCGGCGCACGGGGCGCCTAAGCACTCGCTCCGGAGTCCCACGGGCTGCCCCGCTGGAGCCTTAGTGACCGGAAGGCCGCGGCCTCGGTGTAGACCATGCCTCCAAGCGCCGACTCAGGCGACAGGCTCGGGCTGCTGCCCCTGGTGGGCACAGCCTCTGTCTCGGGCAGCAGGGCAGCTCCCTACCCCGCACTGGCCCAGGGCCCCAGCCACCTCTCCCCAAGGCACTTGAAATCTAACAGAGTCCGGCCGTACTGAAACGAAGGACCAGAACAGCAGCCCAGACATAGTCCTACATGGGTGCATGAGCCACCCTCGGGGAGGCCCCAGTTTCCAGTGGACGGAGAAGCTCCCTGAAAATAACTACTTGGGTCCCGGGACCAGGCAAGTGGCCCCAGCCAAGTGGGGCTTCGGCTGTGCTCAAAGGTTTTCAAAGCAGGAATTGAAAAATTGCCAATAATAGGAAGATGCATCTAGCAGAGAGGAAAATAAAGGGACATTTAGAGGTATGGACACCTTGCTAAAATCAAAGGCTCAAAGGGGATGATGGTGACAGTTACAGCCTGCAGGAGTAGACAGAGGCACTGTCCCGTGGATGGTGCCAACAGCCCTGCATTGACAAGCTCAGGAGCTCACCGGTGACTGGGACTGGCTTTCTGTGCAGCAACTCGAGAAGGGAGAAGGTAGAAGTGAAGTCTTTAGGGGCGTAAGGGGAGAAGGAAATGACTAGAGCAGTTGGGGCTCAAAAGAAATCTGAGGTTTACGTGCAACGCAGACAGCCCGTTCCCAGCCCCACGAAGCAAGGCGGGAAGCTTGCCCGCCCCTTTCCCCTTCTCCACATCTTCAGGCTGCGTGTTTCCTGCACGGATTTCATTATCCTTAAAGCTGCTGCTGCTGCTGCTGGCCTCATCTGCCCAGATAACACCGCACGGCGTGAGGGAGGAGGTGTGGTGGACCCACAGTGGTTAGTTGCCCAGGCCTTGCCCCTAAATGTGCCTCTTGCGTGAGGGTCAGTTGCAGCAAACCTGCCCTCTCCAGCCTCTTGGAGGTCAGTCTGCACGGCCAATCCACGGTAGGTGTGGGACTCAGAACTGACAACTTGCACCATTTCCTCCTCCCCCAGCACACACCACCTTTGGAAAGTTCTGTGTCCGATCGTCATGCAAGCCAGAGCAGGCGCAGCAGTGAGAGCAGGAGCTCTGGAGCTGGCAGTCCCGGCCCTGCCACTTCACAGCTTTGTGACCTCAGCCTGGTGATTTCACCTCTCCGAGCCTCAGACTATGGATCTGTTGATCCGTGTGAAGGGACCGACGCCTGCCTTAACATTGTGTTAAGAGAGGTCATGTGTGTAAAGGGCTCAGTCCGGTGCCTGGCTCAGGTTAGATACTCAGGTAAAGGCAGCTGGTGTTATCATAATTCCACTTCGCTCATGTCCTCACCTCCCAGGGAACATTCACTCACAGCACGGGCCGCCAGTGACTGTTTTCAGGGCTGGATTCCTTCCTGAGGCCACGTTCAGAGTTCTCCCCCACAGCTTTGCCCTTCGCTCAGTGCCGGGAGCGAAGCTGCTATGGCTAGGAGCACTGGTTCTTGGAGCGGGTCTTCCCAGGCCCCACGGTGCGGGAGATCAGCTGTGCCAGCTGGTGCCGAGGCCCCCCCCCACAGGGGACAAGGTGGACAATAAACCACTTAGTGGATGCAGCTTCCACTCGTGTGTGGGCAACACGGCAGGTCCGGCAGCTGTCAGGGCTGAGCCAGTCCAGGTGAAAAAGTGGACCGGGGAGCCGCCAGCTGCTAAGCAGAGTGATGATACCAGTCTCCCGGTCCCCCCAGGGGACACACCAGCCAGCGGCTCACACGGAAACCCAAGCTCAAGTTATGAAGCAGCTGACGGAGCAGAAGCAGCCGAGGAAGGCAGAGAACTGCAGTCCTGGGATGTTGCAGAGCCTGTCCCCCACCCAGCGCCCGCTGTGGCCACCCACACATGCCGCTGTCACTCACCTGCCAGGCCGTGCCTCCTCTCACAGGTGCCTTCGTGAGCACAGATCTCCTCCCTGGTTACTTAAATTTTAACAGTCCTTTGAAGTTATTCTTTGCATTTCTGACTTAGAGCAACTTTCTGTAAGACATTCTTTAGTCCAGCTTCTTCAGGCCCGAGACCCTGAATCACATTCCACAGATGACCGGGAGAAGTTAGGGTGCAGGACAGAGTAAGTGTGGGTGGGATCTCCTCTTTACATTGGTTCGGTCTTCTGTGCGCGGGCGCGCACACACACACACACACACACACACACACACACTTTGCTTGCGGGCGCGCACACACACACACACACACACACACACACACACACTTTGCTTCTGCCTGGGAAGGGCTTGTCAAAGACATGACACGGATGTGACAAGGATGAGAAGGAAGACAAAAAGACTTTCTTGTCTAGAAAGTGAGTACGAACATCCCACATCTCATCTAGAAAGGAAGCAAACAGCAGCCGAGCACTCATAGCACCTAGGATCTGTGCTGGACGCCTTGCACACACCCAGAAACAAGAGCCGGAGAGGCGGAGCATCGCACTCCACGGCACACGGGCAGGTAAGGGCAGGGAGGGCGGGATCCAGACTTCTGCAACCAGCCCGGTGCTGTCATCAACCTACCGACTCTCCTCTCACAGCCGAAGACGGCAGGGCCCACAGGGAGACAGGGACACAGCAAACAGGAAATGTTTCCTTGAGCACCTGTTGAGTGCTGGGCACCGGATGCGGCTCCTGCAGCCACTTAACATTCTTGTCCCCCTGGAACTGGAAGGCCAATGCCCCCTGCCTTCCTGAAGCAGTAGTGATGGGCTAGGAGGAAGGGAGAAATGCCCCAGTCAGCGAGGCAAGAAAGGGAGGCTCAGAGGGGCAGGCCCACCCTTTCCTAGTACGGAGCACAGACCCCCCCTTTTTTGGGGGGAGACAGAGTCTTGCTCTGTTGCCTGGGCTAGAGTGCAGTGGCGTCAGCCTAGCTCACAGCAACCTCAAACTCCTGGGCTCAAGCGATCCTCCTGCCTCAGCCTCCCGAGTATCTGGGACCACCATGCCCGGCTAATTTTTTCTACATATTTTTAGTTGTCCAGCTAATTTCTTTCTATTTTTAGTAGAGACGGGGTCTTGCTCTTGCTCAGGCTGGTCTCGAACTCCTGACCTCGAGCGATCCCCCTGCCTCAGCCTCCCAGAGCGCTAGGATTACAGGCGTGAGCCACCGCGCCCGGCCCACAGACCCCTTCTTCACTGATCCATGCTCTGTTCGCTCTCACCGCTCTCTTTTACCTTCAGAGTGAGAATAAAGAAAAGGAACTATCAGAAGGGTGTGGGGGCCCACAGATGCTCCCTGCACGAACATAAGATGGGGAGAGACACAAGCAGGGTCGTCTGGTTCTCAGTTACCCAATCACCAAACACTGACTGTCATGACTGAAGCAGGATGAGTCTGCGAAGCTTAGCGGTTAGGAGCCTGAAGCCTCAAAACTGCCTTGCGAGCGCTCTGAAGATAGACACTACACCGCGCCCAGTCACAGCTCCCCGATACCTGGAGCCAGGCTGTGTGGCTACGGCTGCCCCAGGGATGCCTCGTGGTGACGCCACCACCCTCTGGGATAAAGAGGAAGTCCCAGCATCAGTGTCTCACGTGTCAGTCCCTGAGCTAGGGACTAGGGTTCCAGAGATTTTTTTAAAGTAAGTTCTTTCCTGGGAGGGAGACAGACATGCAAGTGATAAAGCTCAATGAAGAACTTCTACAACAGGGAAGAGGAGAAGGTCCACAGAGCCTCCACAGGGGGTGGGACGTGAGAGCTGCTTCGAGGGATGGCAGATGGTGGTTAGCAGAGAGGAGGCGGAGCTAGATCACGAGAGCACTCCGAGAAGGACCTACAGGAGGAAGCAGCAAGGCCCCGTCAAGGAATTACAAATATTTGGCACTGCTTGAATGTGAAGTACAAGGAGAATATGCAATGAGGAAAGAGGCAGGCGCTGGCTTACAGTGGACCTCATCTGCCAGGCTGAGCTTGGGCTGCATTCTGAGGGAATAGGGAACTCTCGAAACAAAAATATAACATGTTGGAAAAATTGCTTTGTAGTGGAGATGATGGGTTGGAGGGAATGGAAAATGGAGGCACAGAGACTATGTTCTAGTTCTGGCAATACTGTGAACTAAACAACATAAAAATGCCCCTGCTTACCAAAAAGTACTAAATAAAATATAACGTCCTTTTAAATGCACAGCTAATCTCCCAAAAGAGTAAGGGAAATTCTTGGAGCCATAAATGAAGAGGGAACTAAAACCCAGAATGGTGAGTGAAATAAATGATCCTGTAAGTGCCTTTGGATATGTAGTCCGTCTCAGTAAGCCACACTGTCTAATACAGTGGGGTGGCCACATGTGGATGTCTAAATTTAAATTTATGTAAATTAGTGTTAATTGAAATTAATTAAAATTTAAAATTCAATTCCTAAGTCTCACTAGCCACATCTCAAGCACTCAACACCTCATGTTACTAATGGCCACCATATTAGAC